TTTTTCTTGCTTCTTTCTGCATTTCTGTATTCACCGAGGTTGAACTCTTTTTTCCTATCCTTCAGCTATATACCTTAGAAAGCATGCACACCCTTTGTGAATTCTCCTTTCATGTTTTTTTGTTCTTTTGTTGCCTACTTGAGAGTTTCTTGCTTCTTTCTGCATTTCTGTATTCACCGAGGTTGAACTCTTTTTTCCTATCCTTCAGCTATATACCTTAGAAAGCATGCACACCCTTTGTGAATTCTCCTTTCATGTTTTTTTGTTCTTTTGTTTTGCCTACTTGAGGTCTTTATTGTCACTTAACTGTATTTTGCCAACTATGTTAATATATCAACATGGTCCATATACATCCGGGCCATGTCATGTTCCATATATGAAATTTTACGTGACTTTAAGAAATGAGGCAGGACTCTTCTTTAAGAGCAGCGGTGTGAACGTTATAACTTGGTTGAAAATTCAAACACCCCATGTACAAAAAATGCTGAACTACCAGTTTAAAAAAAATGCATGTATGTTGCACCTTGAACTCCTCCACCTAACTCAGATGTGGCTAAGTGGTTAAGTGTTCAAATGTTTCAGAGTAACTCACAAAGCTGTTATCTGCCCAAGAATCACACAGGGAATGTGATGCTTCCCTGTCTCTCACTAGGACTTTTATCTGAGGACAAGCAAGGACAACTAGGTGTTGTGTTATTGTGGTAGGGGTGAGAGTTGGATGTAAGGAACACATGACTGCAGGAGGTTGAGAAATGTTCTGAGGATATCAGTACAGCATTCATGCCACCAGCATGCCCTAGCAACATCCATCCTCCCGGTGGAATTGGCTAGGCTGCCTGACTTCTCAAAGATACTTTCCAGCAACTAGAATTTTGTGCATCAGAGAGTACACACTCAGTGGGAGGTGCCTGAACTCTCTTATATCAAGAAGAACAGAGGTACCCTGAAATCAGCAGGTACAGAGATGCTGATTGGCCTTGCAATAAGCAAACAAGAGTATCTGATAGTTAAGCATTTCCCTGTTTCTCAGGAGCTCTGTGAATTCACCTTATCCTATTCATTCTCACACCCCGCCCCTGCCCGGACCTCCCCCCACTAATTGTTTGTTGTTTCCGCATTAAAGTCTTTGAAGGAAAAGTGATGGTGTTAACTAAGGGTGAGCAGGTGAACAGGTATACAGGCCTAGGGCAGTGATGGCGAACCTTTTGAGCTCGGCGTGTCAGCATTTTGAAAAACCCTAACTTAACTCTGGTGCCGTGTCACATGTAGAAAATTTTGATATTTGCAACCATAGTAAAACAAAGACTTATATTTTTGATATTTATTTTGTATATTTAAATGCCATTTAATGAAGAAAAATCAACCAAAAAAATGAGTTCGCGTGTCACCTCTGACATGCGTGTCAGAGGTTCGCCATCACTGGCCTAGGGTATCAGAGGCAAATGTTGGCAGAAACCCTGGGATTGAGGAAGGGCTTGAGGCCAGGACTGGGCAGATGCAGAACTTCACAGATTATCCAGGTCACTGAATGCATTTCTGTGCTGTTGGCTAAAGAGTTAGTATTTGGCCAGAGCAGATGAAAAACTTGTCTTTTTTTCTTCTTTTCTTTTTCTTTTTTTCCCCACAACACTACAGAGAGTTTATGTGGCTCCAAAACAAAAACATACACCAGTCATTCATATTAATTCAGGGTCATTTTTTTGAGCCAGTCATGAAGGGGAAAAAGAATAATGGTTCCTGCCATGGCTGGTGTGTTCGGTGGTTAGAGTGTTGGCCCACTCACCGAATGGTCGCAGGTTCGATTCCTGGTCAAGAGCATGTACCTGGGTTGCAGTTCATTCCCAGCCATCCCCCTCAACCCCAGTCGGGATGCATGTGGGAAGCAACCAGTCGATGTGTCTCACATCGATGTTTCTTTCTCTCTCTCCCCTTCCTGCCTTTCTTCCTCTCTCTCTGAAAAAGCAATGGAAAAAATATCCTAAGGTGAGGATTAACAAATAAATAAATAATGATTCCTGAAGTCTGTATTGCAATGAACTCATAGTTTGAAAAGCACTTTTATGGGCTGCTTACTAACCCATTTCAAACCAACCTTTGAAGTGTGGGTACGGCTAGTCTCAGGTGAGGAATGATGAAACTGAGGCTCAGAAAAGTCCCAAACCTATTAAATGAAGAAGTCAAAATGCAAATCTAGGCCCTCTGATTCTAAGTTGTTCTTGTGTGTGTGTGTTTTTTCTGAATGTGGGAAATCCACGGAATCTGGGAGATGGTAGAGGGCGTGTGGAGGCCCAAACCATCAACATGAGACTTGGTATTGAACACTGAATTGTATGATGGGTTGAAAGATTGCACCTGATAGATGGCTCAGCCACACTATGTACAGGGTGTCCCAAAAAATGCATACACACTTTGAATAATTATTAATTCCAATGGGTTAAATCTAAAAAAGAAAGAAATATTGGAATTAATAATTATTCAAAGTGTGCATACATTTTGGGGGGGGACACCCTATATTTTCATAGTTACACTCATTCACAGTCAGCACTACCCCTCCCCCTGTCCCCGCCCTGACTAAAACACGTTCTTGTTTTTTACATACTGTACAAGACATCTAGAATTCTGGGCAATTTTTGGTCTCCTAGGAGAAAATCAGAGTGAGGATGAAATCTGGCTTGAGGTACCCCCTCAGCTGAACAAAGAGGCTCAGAAAAAAAATTCCACTTACCCCATAGTACAAGCCAAAATAGGGAGGGACTTCGGGTTTGAAAGGGTGGATGAGGGACATGAGCTCATCTTTGTAGCCCCAGAGCAAATCGTGGACCGTGTGCGTCACAAAGAACTTCTGCTGGTAGGCCTTTATCAGGGCGTGGATGATCCTCTGGATGATGCCTTCCTGCGCCCATTCCATGGCAGTCTGAGGAGCACAGGCAAATTCAGAGAACAGCATACCCACCCACTCTCCTAAAGGTTGGAATTAAATAGCTGGAAAATTAGCCAATGGACTCCTCTCTGGCTCTGTGTACAAGAATAAAACTCCTCAGTTACTACCCTTTCTCAGGGTTAACATTTCTGTGATCTCAACGTCCCCATGGCCACCCTGTTATCCCCACACAGCGGGAGGAAAGGGAAAAGCTCTTGTAAGTACATTGGCATCTTTGGCCACTAGGTGGCGCCATCTTCCTCCTGCTCGGGCACAGAGGCTGGGGCCCTCATTATAAACTCCACTAGGGGCAGGGCAGGGCCAGATCTGGGATGCAGTTTTCTAGGCCCTGGGTCCACCATGAGTGGTCACCTAGAAGTTACTGTGGGAGCCTCAGAGGGGGTTAGTGTAGGTGAACAGGAACGTTTCCTGGGTGTCAATTGTATTGTTATGAGATGGAATTGCCATTATAATCAGAGCCCATTGAAAACACTCCAGGCTGTAATCAACAGCTCAGTCCCTATTATTTGGAATGGGAAAAAACAGCCAATAGGTATTTTGAGAACTTAAAAATCCTAGAACTTAAATTAAGAAGTGGTATGCAAATTCTATGGCTAGAGTTTCTGAACCAAAACAAGGAGCAAATAAATATTTTGAAAATTATTAGCTACTTGCCCGGCAGGTGTGGTTCAGTGGTTGAGCATCAACCTGTGAACCAAGAGGTCACAGTTTAATTCTAGGTCAGGGCACATGCCCCGGTTGCAGGCTCAATCCCCAGTAGGGGGCGTGCAGGATGAAGCCAATCAATGATTCTCTCTCATTAATGTTTCTATCTCTTTCTCTCCCTTCCTCTCTCTGAAATCAATAAATACATTTTAAAAAATTATTAGCTACTTAAAAAAATCCTAGAGACATAATTATTTATATAAGTGCTGATCCTGAACACACAGCAAGTAATTGTGAAAAGAAATCCTAAAATTTGCCTTCCGTCACTATTTGAAAAGACCTTGTTTGAAAGACCTCAGAAAACTGTCTAAGATAAACTTTAAAGAAGGGCAAGGGAAACATATTTTTCTTTTTATATATGTATATATTTTTTAACATAACTTAGCGCCTAAACATAAAGCCATAATCGCCTAAGTTAGCTTTTACCTTTCTTCTAAAATCCATAATAATGGTACTTAAAATGCTAACTTACCACTGCAGGAATATTAATTGTCCTAATTAAGTCACTTTTAGCGTCTCCAACAGATAGGTTTTGTACAAAAACATAGGCCTTGTTGCTAACTGCAGATATGGTTGTTCCATTTTCGCCAAATTGAATATCCGCTTTGTTTCTGATTTCCCTAAAAGAAAGAAATAGATTTGGTTTGAAAACAGTCACTACTTTAAAACGCAGTATGTCCCCCTTCTTTCAGTATCAAAGCTATTGCCAGTATAACCATTACAGAGACTGCATGCCAGTACTGACACCGGGAAAACTGGAGATGAAAGCTCCAGTTTCATAAAGCGAGGAAGTGAGGCCCGGGATCGAGTCTTCTCAAAAATCTGTCATTTCCATTCTTTTCCTCCACAAATTGGAAAACGCAATGGTCAGGGTCACCTTGACAAGGGCATCAAAGCCAATGAACTCTGGGTTATGGTTTGTTCCCAAAATATATTCATGAGGAATACATATAAAATCTGATAGAGGCCGTCCTGTTAAAACACTTGTGCAAGGGGTAGCTAAGTGGGATTTTGATTGCTAGACATTCACTGCCCCCCCTTTTTTTTCTGGCCAGACCTTAATTTTCTTTCCTTTCCTGCATTGGGCGGCGGTGTGGGACCCAAGCTCAACCAATTCTTTTCCCTTTGGCCTCTGACTCCTGAGCCCAGAACCTCCAGGTGGAAAACACAGTCTTAATACCGGCTTCCTCCAGGGGGCGCACATGAGCGAAGTTCCTTGTGCTCCAGAGATTCGGGTCTTTAAAGCTGCCCTGGACCCTGCCTTTCTTCCCAGCCACAGCGGGGAAACTGTAACCCAGTCTACATAGCCTTCAAATAAGTTCTCCTTTTAGTTAAATTGGCCAGAGTCAGTTTCTCTTGCTTGCAACCGAAGCCCCCTCCCAGAGAAAGCAGAACCCAGTCTTTCTGTAGATGAGAAAAGGGAGATTCGGATAAATAACTAGCCCAGGATTAACCAGGAGGTGGCAGAACAAGGCTGAGAATCCTGGTCCCCTGACTTCTATCCCAGGTTCCCTGACTCTACAGAGAAGTTAATGCAAAGGGACTGGTTAGCAGCTGGAGGTGAAGAGGAAATTTCAAAGGCAAATCGCTGCCTCTGCCAAGGCCGGTGCCTGCAGCGGGGATTCCTCTCCACTCCTTGCCACCCCCAGAGCCTCCCTGCAGCCAAGGGGAAGAGGGAAGGACTTCTCAGGGTGCAACCACGTATAACCAGGGCCCAGGGCCCCACACTGGCCTGGCTGACCACTAAGAAACTAGACGTAGAAAAAATAGCCCCAGGGTGAACACCAGTTTGCACACGAAGAAAGCCAGGCGGGGGGCCAGGGAGCAAAGAGCTGGAATTCAACATCCGGCCAAAACCCTAGGGATCAACTCTGCCGAGTTCTCTAACTAATGACGAAAACTGATGACCTTGCTAAAGCCTTTATTTTTTTTCACTGAGCCCTGGATCATGAACCTAATGGCCTGAGCAATTCCAACCCTAGAGCCTGCATCATTTGTTTATTTATGTGCACTGACTCTGGGAGGACTTTGAAAGGTTTTCTTGACAGCTCACCCTGTAAGAACCTGCTGTTTTAAAGGGAACCTGAGCATGGGGCTCCAGTCACTGTAAGCCTTGTTGTCATTCACTGGGTTTCTCAGTACATTTTAAAAAGTCAAAGCCATGGATTCCCAAACCACAAAAACATTGAATTCACTTGGCAGGCACCAAGGGAACATGACAGGTCACTCACAACTAACCACATGACTTCCCTCAACCTCCAGCCATCTAAGGCATGCCCGACTCTCGGCTTTTGCAGAGGGTCTAACCGAAGGAGACGGTGCCCGGCGGTCAGAGGTGGTCCCCGCTCGGCAGAGGCCGAGGAAGCCAAGGAGAGAGGTGGCGAGGGACCTCCCTCTCAGAACAACAGTAAGTCATGTAGTCCGAGGAGCACCGTACGAGGAAACCCAAGCACTCCCTCCCATCACGGCGGCCCCCCTCGCGAGGCCACAGTGCCAGAAAGTCTGGGTACCCAGCTGGTCAGCCAGAGTCCACCAGAGCAGGGCGGCCTCCTAGGGAACAGCGGACTGAGAGCAAGAAGTGAACAATCACTGCTTTACAGTGTCTGCCAAGACCAAAGAAGCTTCTAGAAATAGAAACAAAAGCATTTTGGGGTGTTTTTTTTTAAGGCAAAGCAAATCTTTGGCCTCGACAATCAATTAACAAACCATATTTCGAAGTGCCTGGTATGGTCCCTGGTACTTAGCAGATGCCAATAAATCCTGGTGTTGAAGGCCCAGGACACCCCAGGCTCAGATGACAACTTCATATTTGTTATTCACCCTGGTGGCCCCAGTCACTAAGAAAAGGTTGGGTTACACTCCATCAGGCAGGAAAAGACCTGGGTGATGTTAGAGATATTTCATTTTAAATCATTTTTTTAAAGTTCTTTGACTTTTTTAAATAAAAAAATTATTTTTAAAACTCCTGAAGGTCTCATCAGCCCAGAAGGAAAACCATAGCCTGAGGAATCATTTTAATTAGTTGGAAAATTAACGTCTAACTATGCAATACATTGGAGATTTTGGATAAGTTAGGTATATACAATTCTATATAATAAAAGGGTAATATGCAAATTGACCCTAACAGAAGAACGACTGGGAATGACTGGTCACTATGACACACACTGACCACCAGGGGGCAGACGCTCAATGCAGGAGCTACCCCCTGGTGGTCAGTGCACTCCCACAGGGGGAGCTCTGCTCAAATATCCTAATATGCTAAGTGTCTGGTCGTCTGGTCGGCCATTCAACCAATCAAAGCATAATCTACTAATGAAACGCTAAGACTGCTCAACTGCTCGGTATGATGTGCACTGACCACCAGGGGGCAGGTGCTCTGACTGGTAAGTTAGCTTGCTACTGGGGTCCGGCCGATCGGGACTGAGGGAGATGGGCCAGACATTCCCTGGAGCCCTCCCACGGTCCCTCCCCAGCCCCAATCATGCACCGGTGGGTCCCTTGGCCTGGTCTGTGCCCTCTCACAATCCTGGACCCCTCGGGGGATGTTGGAGAGCCAGTTTCAGCCCGATCCTGCGAGCCCGGCCAAAGGACCCCACAGGTGCACGAATTCGTGCACTGGGCCTCTAGTACTATCATATAATCCTTATCTTCCATCACTGTAGTTCTTCATTCACCCAGTGCTCTCTGCTGAGAATCACTCAGAAGTGACTGGCAACAGTGGGCAACGTGTGGGTTAAGATCTGACTGCCAGGCTCCGCATTCCATTCTGGCTTCACCCGTTACCAGCTCTGTGACTAAGGAGAAGTTACTCATTGCTTCCATGCCTCGGTTTCCTGGGGCAATAACGTACCTTCCTTGTAGGCTTGTGGAGGGTGGAGGGGCCTCCTTGTAGGCAAGTGGAGATAAGAATGTACCTTCCTTATAGGATTGTGGTGAGAATTAAATTCGCATAAGCTTGTCATCCATTTAGAACACTACCTGGCACGTACTAAGAGCTTAGGAAACAAGTAGCTAGTAACATTATGTGTGAGGCTTGCACTAAGCTCAGGAGATGGAGAGATGTCCTCAAAGAACCTGGTGCAGCACAGACTTCCACCTAATCAGCTACCTCACACCTGGAAGAGCTACCTCACACCTAGAACAGCTACCTCACACCTGGAGCAGCTACCTCACACCAGGAACAGCTGCCTCACACCTGGAGCAGCTACCTCACACCAGGAACAGCTGCCTCACACCTGGAGCAGCTACCTCACACCAGGAACAGCTGCCTCACACCTGGAGCAGCTACCTCACACCAGGAACAGCTGCCTCACACCTGGAGCAGCTACCTCACACCAGGAACAGCTGCCTCACACCTGGAGCAGCTACCTCACACCAGGAACAGCTGCCTCACACCTGGAGCAGCTACCTCACACCAGGAACAGCTACCTCACACCTGGAGCAGCTACCTCACACCAGGAACAGCTACCTCACACCTGGAGCAGCTACCTCACACCAGGAACAGCTACCTCACACCTGGAGCAGCTACCTCACACCTGGAGCAGCTACCTCACACTGGGAACAGCTACCTCACACCTGGAACGTCTACTTCACACCTGGAGCAGCTACCTCACACCTGGAACAGCTACCTCACCCCTGGAGCAGCTACCTCACACCAGGAGCAGCTACCTCACACCTGGAACGTCTACCTCACACCTGAACCGTGTTCCCCAGCTGCCCTCCAGGTGCCGGCGGACACCCAGAGAAGAGAGGAGGGGCCACTGGGATGGGAGTCCTGAGGAAGGTGCTGTGCAGGGACACGGTGGGGCTGGTTCCAGAAGGAGCAGGCTCCCTCCGGTTGGGAGGCTGGAGGGGCTTCCAGGCAGGCAGCACAGCACAGGCTCCGCTGACAGTGGAGGGTGAGGAAACTGGTCCTGGGGGAGGATGAGTAGCCAGCAGCGCAGGGCACGGCTGAGCTGACCAGAGAGTGGATGGAGAAGTGAAGTCACAAGATGGATGCATGACCAGGAAGCAAGGGCAGAGGTGGGAAGCAGGCCTCAGGGAGGGCGCTGAGCAGCACAGGGTTTAACTTCCCGTTACCACTGCCTGGCCCACTGCGTGAGGGGCTGGACACCGAGAGCTCAGAGCTGGGTACTGAGAAGAAGCGCAGGTGGGGCGGGGAGGGTGTGCCCACATTTGTTGGGTGTGGGCAAGAAGCATCTTCACTCCGGAAGCCGGAAACGGTCCTCCGTCCTCGCGGCGGTACCTGGACCCCCTGGCCAGCGCCCGCAACTCACTCAGGACAACCAGTGCATTTGGAACTCACAGTACCTGGCCCTCACCTTTGGTGCCGGGCAAGGTGGGAGGAGTCTTTTACTACTTTTCTTACTTTTGAGCAGTTCAAAGATTTTTTTAGAAACTTATCTAAAGACACTGTTTCTGTTTTGAAAAAGAAGTGGTATCAGAGAAGAATGAGCCAGGTTTAGAAAATATTTTAATAGTGGAAACAATAACCATAGAATTTCTAAATTTTCGATCATCTCTTTGATATTAAAAAAACTGATTCGGCTTGGCTCTGAGATGAGTAAAGGATCGAAGGGCTAACGTTCAGAATTTGGAAGATTGAACAAAGTTCCTACCT